CCCATAATTAATCAGAATTTGAAGTAAAAGAATAGTGAAATCTGAGAGGGGAAGAGGGAAATCAATAGAGGAAGACTGGAGATCTGAGTGATTAGGGCTGCCTGTGAAAACAAGATGAAAAGGGGCTGCCTGAAAAAAAGAAAAGAAAAGAAAAGAAAACAAGGGGACATGGGAATGACTGTAGAAAGGCGTTGTTTTATTAAGTCTTACCTCTTAATTTTTGTGAGGTAAGGCGGATGGACACTAATCCCATATATATATATTGTTTTTGCATTCATTACTTAACATTCAGATTTCAGAAGCTTTCACACTAGGCTATTTGTATGATGGAGGAAAATTAAGGGGATTATAGTAGAAATTATGTTTTATAGTCATTTTCTGACGAAGCTTAACAAAAATCTGTCATACTTTTCATCTTTATAATTAATTGGAAACTATTTGATGTGACTTTTATTACAAAATGGTGGAATAAGTGGTTAAATGATTGTGATATTACTCTGATGAGTCTTGAATGATGGCTTACGAGAGTATCAGTTTGCCTATTTTTCCTTTTTGTTGTAGTTTTTAACTTTTTAATTTATTTTATATAGAAGGTACATTTTTAGTTGCATGCAATTCTGTAAGAGAATTCTGTACGTGATGATTCATTGCTGATTTAAAATCAAAAGTTCAATTTAATTTTCCTTGAAAAAAATTGATGGATAGATCAGTTATTGAGGCACTGAAATGTGTCAAAGTTGCTGCACTCAATGTTGCACATCGTTGATTAAATATAATTTAATATTGCACAATCATTAATTAAATGTGTCTTTGGACCACTGAGTAGGGTAATATTCCCTTTCAAATGCTTTTCATGTGCAGGTGCTCATTAACCAACTGAAGGACATTACTTCAGGAAAGCAAAAGTAAATATCTGAGTGTATAGAGAAAGTAAATGGCATTTCTGCCAACATGCCTTCTGTGGCCAGACATAGGAGCCAAGCCATGTCAACTCTTCAAGCTCAGAGCAGTGGAAGGACACTGGTGGCTAACTAGCTGTTCAGTGATTTCCTGTTTTCATGCAAATATTAAAACTACTTTTTAAAATTTGATAATTACATAGTAGAACTGATGATTCCTTATGTTGTCTTATCAATTTTTTTTTTTTCTCTTCTTCACAAAAGTTTGATTATGGCTGTTTTTGCTTTGTTATTTGCCTGTGTGTTTTAATTCTTTTTTTAACTTACAAGGTTAACTCTTTGCTTTTTGTAAGGTAACATATATACATACAAGAGCATAGCATGTTTTGTGGTGATTTTAGTTTGTTTGGTGCTGTGGAAGGAACTATGGATTTTATGATTTTGTATTACTTTTTAACCTACTCTGTTTTTTATGTTTGCTTGGTATGGAAACTGGTAGGCTCTAGATCAAGAATGTTCTATTAGTGATGGAAACTGGTAGGTTCAGGAAGAAGGGTTTGTGCTTGAATTAGTTTTGGGCTTGCATTGGGTAACCTTACCTCTTTATATCTGTTTGTTGGTAAAATGTAATTGTGAGTGCAAAGGTTGTTTGAGTGTAGAATTCATGATGGTCAACACCATATTAAGTATTTTTTTATCGCTTAGATTAGATCCATCATTTCTCACTTCTTCCCTATTTATTTTCAGTTGGACAGATCAATGATGAGCCGCAGCAGTGAAAGAAGGCTGGGGTTACTGGTTGTTGTTTTCTGCCTGCCTGGTGATTATTTTTGTTGTTGATTCTGTTAGATGGCAAACTATTAAGTCTTAAGTGCAGTTATTACTTACCAAGATAACATTTTGTTGTTTCTATAACATATTGGTGTTTTTCTTTTTGCTGATGAAACGAGGGGGAGAAAGGTAGTATATAGATGAGGAAGTCAAAGATAGGGATAAAAAAAAGCTCATGTACTGAGTGCTTTACTTATTATGGTATTTTATAAACATTTTATTTTAGGTATTAGCTTATATTGTCTTTCCTTTTACCATTTGGAATTTGTTGTGGTGCAAAGAAGCTTGAGAATCTGTACCACAAGGAAAATTAAGAGCCTGTTTGCGTAGCTTCTTGGAGCTTTTACTTTTTTAGTACTGTTTATGAGTCATAAATTTAAATTTTTATTGGAGGAAAAATTTAAAAATTGCTTTTAAAAATAGTAAAAAGTGAACAAGAAATGAGTGAGTAAAAAGGAAGTAAAAAAGAAGTTTACAAAAAGCAAAAGTTTGAAGCTTTTCAAAATTTATTGTTTAAGATTTTTTTTAAGGTTAAAAAAAAGTTTTAAAATGTAAGTTTTTAAGAGGGAAATTTAAACTTATAAAACATAAATAGTGTCAAAAAGCTGAAGCACTTACAAGCTTCACCAAACATGCTCTAAAGTATTGTCCTGTTTAAAACAATTGTACGTTAGATTATTATATATTCTTAATGACCAAATGTCATGTGGATCTGTAAAATTCTAGAAGAAATTCTCTGAAATCATGTTCAATGGAATTGAGCACTAGTTCCTTAGATGAGTTGCTGCCAGTTTCTGGATATGATGAAAATATTTGATCTTCCCTTTTCGTTTTTTTGGATTTGAGGTAATTAACTTGGAGTTGGTTGTGGATGCAGGGTGTCTGTGTCACATTTTCCCCCCTTTTGAGTTGATATGGGCTACCTAAACAATGTGCTTTCCTTTCCCTCTTTTCCCTTTTTCTTGAGCTTTTGTTTTCATCATATTTTTTGGTCTTTTTATTTTGAAGCTGTAAGGTATAATATGCTTTGTCCTTTATCTAGATGCCATGTTGTATTTCTATTTTAGTAGGTAAAGCTCAAGGAATAGAGGAGTCATTAAACTTCATTATAGGTAAATGCATCTCTCTCCATTCCTGAATTTCTTAGTTCTTTCTTCCTCTTGACTTTTTGTGGACTAATTTATGGTCTACATATTAGTTTGTTTTTTAGGTAAAGATGGGGATATCAGTATGTTTTCTGGGATGTTCGAAGAACATCTTGGCAAGAGGGTGAGTTATTCGATCCATTTTCCATTTTCTGATTCCATTTTGCACTATTTTTTATGGATGCATAGGATATTTTCAATATGATTCTTTTAGTTGGGCTAAAATTTTCTAATACCATATGCATGCTAATGTTTAAGCTAGAAAGCTCTTCTAAATTCTAACTAAGCATATAAGTTTATGTGAATATTGGTGTAAAAATGAGTGAAATATGACAGTTGAATTGCAGGTCATAGGCTTGATAAAATCTAGAGAAGCTACAGTGAGGCTTACTTGCTCAGTCATTCCATTCTAGGAGTTGACCTGAATGAGGATTTGGCTCTTTTGGAGGTTTATTTTGTTTGTCCATTTCTTATTCTGAAATTGACTGGTTCAATTAAATTCTCTGCACCTGTGCATGTACATTTATGGTTAAATTTTGACTTTACAGGGAACTTGCACGTGCATTATCATGGTGGATATTTGTTTGAATCTAAGAAAATATGCTTTTTGGGACTCCATTGTAGTGGAGAAGAAACAGGTTTTCGTTTTTACCTTTGTGGAGACCTCATCATATGGTTAGGTTTTTGTCTCAGGTACTAGGTTATTAATGGTGTGCCTTCATTATTTTCAAAATTGTTAGTTTATTGTATACTATATTTTTTGTTCATAAAGTGTATGGGCATGGGGAAAAAGCTTTCACTGAAATGGGTAAAAGAGATTTGAAAATATTCTTGGCTTGATTTACTTGTGTTTTGAACTTATTAGTCTTCTAATGTCTTATTTTTTTTTTGGTTTCCCGTCCGGTATCCGAGGTTTCGCCCCGATTAATCCAAACCCGACCCACGTCGCGCACCTGGAAATGGTGGGTGAGTCTCCCAGCGGGGGCTGCTGCATACACAAGGACTCGAACTCGAGACCTTACTTAAACTGAAACAAGCTGCTTGCCACTTGATCCAACCCCTCGTTGGTATGTCTTATTGTCTTTTAATATTATGGCATCCAGAGATTTTCTAAATCATGATGTCTTTATGTTTCCTATTTTGGTTTTCTTTTCTCTTCCACAGTGAAGTTCAGGAAGGAAAGTACCGAGAGATGAGGAAAGGAGCCTAGTAGAGATCTGGCAACAATGGTTTGAGATTGTATTTTTAATATTTAGCTATGACTAATGTAACGATAATAACATAATTCTTTTGCATGATTTCATAGAGAGTCCTTTTAAAAAAGCATATTTGTTTGTAAACATATTTTTAGGGTTGTTTTAAGAATATTACCTACACATGATTAGAGCAATGCTGAGAGAGGGGACGGACAAACAGGAGAAAGGAAGAGGAAAATGGTAGCAGGTCTAGCAAATCCATCATTTTGACTTACATGGGTGCTTTGTTATTTGGTAGATGGTTAAGCTTTCTAAGTGGTTCTGTCCTCCCAATTTTGAATTACAGGGCACATGTTGTAACAAGTGCGGAGGTATACTTGTTTGACTGTTATGAACGCTATGACAATAGCCTCTCCCTCACTCTTCTCTCTCTCTCTCTCTCTCTCTCTTTTTTCATAATCTAATATGGGTTCAAAATTGGGATATGGAAGTGTTTGGATCTTCATTTGGCAGCCTAGGGTGGTCAATGTATATTGGGATATTCAAGGATGGATTTTTATACATAAGA